AGAGATTCCTTAATCTGGAAAATGAAATGAGACTAGGTATGGAAGGCAAAAAGATGCCCCAATATGCTTAAAAATTGGAAAATAAAATGAGATCCCCATTCCTTGATTTGCAGACTTGTTGATGTTTTCACCTGAGGGCTTCTAAGAGAGGTTGGAAATGAAAGAAAAGAAAGCCCAAACGGGCGCCAAAGAGAGTGTAGATCTCGAAGGACGCCTGATTTCATTGCTAGAAGAGGGATTGGGTAATTGAGGGAGAGAATGGACGGTAGTTGAGAGTAGTAATAGAGGTATAATGGTCTTTCCATAGCATTTATTTTTTCTATAAAAGGAAAGTGGACAAATACTCCAGGGCTGCCCAAAAAAGGGATAGTGGAAGAGTGGAAGTACTTCTCCAATCGACAAATCATTTTACAAACAATCTATCTATTAAGATATAGACTAAGCTCTTCCCTCAAAAACGATCTAGCCTGACTCACAAGAGACATATCAATTGCACAATGATAGTTTGTTAGTGAATAAAGAAAATATCTAACAAAGTCACTAGCAAAGAGCTATCAAACTACTTGGTGAAGAAATCCAGAATCTATAAATCTCATTGATTCACAATCACTTGACAATGAGCATGAGTTTAGACTTCATATGTTGAACCTTAACAACCTTTGATAGTGCATGAAAACTTATTGAAACTCATGTGCCTAACATAATATACCACAGTGCCACACTAGTGCATTACTGCACCGCTAATACTTCTAAAGGAAAAAAAGGATGGTAGTTTGATTGAACTTCCAAAGCCTACAGCCAAGTTCCACTGACTTTACTAGTTAGATTAATAGACTAACTCTTGTGTCAGATTATTATGCTCCCCTGTAAGCCTCATGTCATTACTGAATTTATAAGTAATAATAGGCAATCAAATGTTCCAACATTGTGATCCTAACCTCTTTACACACAATAAATGTATCAATATAAACCTTAAGTCTACAAAATATTGTAATTCAGACAATTGCTTTAATAGGGAAAGGGTTTGCAATAGACTCCGATTTTGTCATATATTCAGTTGATTGATTACGCTTACTAGATTGTATAGAGATTGTAAGATATGTGAACGCTACCCACCAAAAGGGATCGTCAGGCCCTGTGCCACACTGATGGAACGCTAGTACAGCTCGAACCTTCAGGCTACAGTGCTTTGCCAGCATCACAATCTCCAAATAGCCCTGCCAATTGAATGAGCCAGGCCTATCTCTCTCCACCAGCCCCCACCACACCTCCATGACAACTCCCTCCACTCCGGCAGCTTTCAGCGCCCTGAAAGACTGTGCCATAGTCTTCTTCCTCTTCATCTGCCCCAGCTGGAAGCTAACCGCGTCCACTGGAAGAGTCACGAACACCGGCGACCCACGACGGCCGTGGTGGGTCGACACCCCGTGCTGTAACTCGTAGGGGAGATCGCCATCGAACCCATTGGAGTGCGCGGATGAAGATGAGTCCAGTCTAGAACACAACGCGAACTTCCGAGCTCGGAACCGTGTCTGGATCTGGAATAATCGGACAGAGCCAACTGCAGCACGGGCTGATCCGACCCGACAGCAACAGAAAGAGTACGAGATTCTCGGGGAAGCGATCGCCATTTCTAACTACAAAATAGGGTTTTAAATGATGATTTTGTACAAATAATGAACGTGGTACGAGAAGAGATGAGGAAGAAAGAGATTTTGAGGATTTGGGAACCGGAGAAGAAAGGTCCGGAAATGTGTTTACGGCACAACGATGTTCAGGTGAAATCCCCATCACTGTTCCTTTTGCAAAGAAAAATATATACCTGAAGGTACAATATAATTTTTTCACTTTTATTTTCTAATTTGTCATTGGGAGTAGTTCTTTCAATTACCCGAAATTATTCAATTTATTTAATTATAAAGTTCAATTTATAAATAAAATTTATATAATAAAAATTTAGATGAACAGTCTTACAAGAAAGATATGACAAGACTATATAATTTTATAAAATACAGCATTCCTCTAGTATTAACGTTCTCAATTTGACTTTTTCTTAGTTTTAAGACGAGTTGACTATGGGGTGTATTCATCCAAAATGACCATCTACCTTCCCCTGCCTTTCCCTACTTTGCTGCTCCACCATTGCCGCTCCCCAATCTCGACAGCTACCATTCAATACCGCCTAAATCCCACCACCGCTAGTCCCATCATATCACTGCCCAAGATGCCACTACCGCCTACCCCATCATCATCGCTCAAGACCCCACCACCACCAGTCCCATCATCGCCGCCCAAACCCCACCTCTAGCAGCCACATCATCGTCCCACCCCGCCATCTCTGACAGCCCTCCCCATCGCTAGCCTCATCACGCCATCTCCGTCAGCTCTCACCACCACTGCTCCAGCCCCACCATCACTACCAATTGTACCATCGTCATATCGAGAAAGAAGGGGGAGAAAGAGTAGTAGTACAAGATGATGATAAAGGCGTAGATTTGCTCTCATCTACCACAGATTTGGCAAATCTGAGAAGATAAGAGAAGGAAAGGGAAGAAGAAGAAGAAGAATGAGACAAAGAGAAGAGAAAGAGGAAGGGCAAGAGAGAGAGAGAGAGAGAGAGAATTGAAGAAGATGAAGAATTGGAAGATGAAGGGGTGACAAATGCCGAGAGGAGGAGAAAGAAGAGGGCGCGAAAGAGAAAGAGAAGGAAGATAGATTGGGTGAGGGTATTTTAGTAAAAATAAGTAAATAAAGTTTGAACTTGTAAATATTATTAAGAAGATTTATGGAGGACGGAGAGACTAATTAACAATGCAGAAATGTTAAACCGGCATGGTTTGTGTGGCATTGTCTTTCATTGTCATAGCATGACATGGGCCTTTTACAGTGCTCTATTCAAAAAATTAAGGTTCTTACCTCCTGTGTAACACACCAATCCGCGTAACTCGAAAAATAGATTAGCAAGCCGGGTTGTTGCTAATTTGGTATTCACACTCTAAATAATTTAAAGACATTTCAATATATCATTTAAAAAAGTCCAACCATTTGAATCATTCAATGTCTCATTGGAGTAGTAAATTAAAAAAGTCTAACCATTCGAATAATTTTATTACAGAATAGTATCAAAGTTTAAGGCATCACAAATATGACGTGGAAGGATGAAACCCATTCCAAGAAATCAGACGTAGAGTCAAACGCTCGGGCCAACATATGACAACCTGATTCGCTGATTTTCTAACAATAGACCACGAGAGAGAATTAAGTTGTGTCCCAAGTGCTTTATAATCATTCACCACACCTAAGAAATAAGAGGCGTTACCCTCATCCGCTTGAAGAGCCATAAATAGCGTGCAGTTGTCCAATTCAATAGACATAGTGTAGTGAGCAAAATTATCTTTTAGCCATATCAATGCCTCTCGTACCCCCATTGCTTGAACGAGCAAAACGCTTTCTATTCTCCCAAGACCATGGTGCATCCCTCGTATAAAGTTCCCCTAAGCATTAGGTCCTACCACCCCAACCTTTTCATCGCCGGTATTAAAACAACTAGCGTCGACATTACACTTTAGGCCACCCACTTCTAGGGGTTTCCACTTAATTTTGACGCCCCAACTATCCCGCGAGAGCTCTTTTTTTCTAATTAGCTTCTAGCCAATCATTATACCAATAAATTGCCTTGGCGACAAGTGTAGGTGCTCTCATATTCTTGCTGTTTCGCAAAAGTTGATTTCGTTGAACCCATATTTCCCGAATAATCACAATCATTTTCTCAACTTGAGTCTTTCCTGTGGCATTGGCGTACAACTTCCAACCATTTTCCCAAAGAGACAAAATCTACCCAGCATCTCCAGTCTACATGTTGCATGCACTGCCTCGCATAGTTTCAGTGAACCAGGGAGTACATGACTGTTTTGTAGCCCCAAGACA